GTGTCTTTATTTCATCCTGTCTTGTTCTGCGTAGATGCCCAAAAGTAGGATGGCTGTTTCTGTTTCTCTTGGATATGTTTAGTATTGTTTGAGAAATCTTTAAACGATCTTCCAGAGGGATAGTTACATTCCCACCAACAGTACAATAGAGTTCCTTTTTCCCCATATCTTTTTTGGCATTTGTTATGGTTAGAATTCTCAATGTTGGGGTGAGAATTACTGGGATAAAATGGATTCTCAATGTTTTTTTGGGGGGGGGTCTGGTCGTGGGGCCTGACCCTGGGCATGGGCGCTGTCCCTCAGCTCTTCAGCTCAAGGCTAGCGCTCTACCACTTGAGCCACAGCACCACTTCCGGCTTTTTTCTTTTTGCTTATGTGGTGCTGAGGAATCGAACCCAGGGCCTCATGCATGAAAGGCTTTTTTCTTTTTGCTTATGTGGTGCTGAGGAATCGAACCCAGGGCCTCATGCATGAAAGGCAAGCGCTATACCACTGAGCCACCTTCCCAGGCCATGATGCTCAATGTTTTGATTTACATTCCTTTTTCTTTTTGGTCAGTCATGGGGCTTGGACTCAGGACCTGAGTGCTGCCCCTCAGCTTTAGCCCTCAAGGCTAGCATTCTACTACTTTGAGCTACAGTGGTCACTTCCTTGCATTACCTTTAGCCATGGGTAATGAGCATTTCCTTGTGTTTATTGGCCATTCTTACTTCTTCTGTGAAATCTCCATTTACTTCCTTTTCCCCATATATTGATTATTCATTTGGAGAGGGGTTAGTTTCTTGAGCAACTTGTATATTTGATATAATCCCATTTGTCAAATCACTCTCCTATTTGCTGTGCCCCTGGGGCTTTTTACAAATTTCCTGCCTATGCCTATAAATTCTCTTTCTCGTACTCAATCTTGCAGTCGTTTCAGGTCTAACTTTGAAATCTTTGATCCACTTTGACGTTGGTTCATGGTAACAAACAAGAATCCAATTTTAGTTTTCTACATATGGCCTATAATCAAGCCTATAATCCTAGCTACTTAGAACCTTGACCCTCAGATCTCAGAACTTAGATCCTCAGATCTCAGTCTGAAGCTAGATCAAGCAGGAAAGTCTGTGAGACTCTTAACTCCAATTAAGTACCGAAAAAGCCAAAAGTGGAGCTGTGACTCAAGTGGTTATGCACTAGCCTTGAAAATTCCGGCTGGGAAAGTGGCTCAGTGGTAGAGTGCTTGCCTTGCATATATGAGGCCCTGGGTTCCATTCCTCCGCACCACATAAACAGAAAAGGCCGGTAGTTGGCGCTGTGGCTCAAGTGGTAGAGCCTTGAGCTGAAAAGCTGAGGGACAGCACCCACTCCCAGAGTTCAGGCCCCACGACTGACAAAAAAAAAGTTCAAATGTCAGTACCAGCACACACACACACACACAGAAACAAACAAAGTGGGGCTTATCATTTAACCCAAATCCTGAATCTACTTTTCATTGTCTTCACCACCATCCCAGCTGTTCTTCTGAGCTCTTAGACATGAACTTCTCCACTCCCTGTTGTAAATGAAGGCAGTTTATTTGAGAAGAGAATTGGTCCTATTGTAATTGTTTCTTCCCTAAGCAACTCTCTGGGCTTGGGTTTGGAGCTGGAAAGGAGAGCAAGGGAAAACTTTGCTCAATGATATCTTCTTTGGGAACTCAGCACTTGGTGTCAGGTGAGGAGACCACAACCTGAAGTCTGCTTAACCTCTAGCATGGAATCACCACTTTAGAAGCTAAGGCTGAAGGACCCAAGGGAGACTGAACAAAGTGGAAGATCATGTATCTCTCCCTGAGTTTAGGAATAGGATGAGAAACATGCATCCTGTTCATGCCAAGATTAAAGTTGTCTGCATGGTACAATGAGTAATCCCTATGATTTTGGCTGCAGCAGATCAGTTAGTATTTCTATTTCTCTAAACTGTGAGGGGATAAGAAGCTGCAGACTTTACCCAAATACCAGACTCTCAGGTTGGCCACAGGGCCTCACATGTGAAATTCCAGTTTTTCATGAGGCAGAGGTTGGTTGGTTTTTAGTTTGTTTTTTTTGCCAGTCCTGGGGCTGTCTCTGAACTTCTTTTGTTCAAGGTTAGCACTCTACCATTTGAGCCACAGCACCACTTCCAGCTTTTTCAGTTTATGTGGTACTGAGGAATTGAACCCAGGGCCTCATACATACTAGGCAAAGCACTCTACCACTAAGCCACATTCCCCAGCCCAGGGTTCATGGTTTGAGGCTAGCCAAGGCAAAAACATTAAGACCCAATCCCAACCAATAAAGCTGGGTGGGCATGATTTGATTCTAAAACCCAGTACGAATGAAGAAATGAATTACTTGAGGTATAGGAAATTTCTGACTATGAGTTATCATAGAATGAGGAAGAAGATGCATATTATATAAATTTGCTGTAAAATGGTATTTTACAATATCATTCATCAGTTATCCTATAGAAGCAGTTTGCAGCAATTTGAGTGACAATATCATACTCCCAAGTGGCTGTTCTTGAACTGTTTGGGGGGGGGGGGGCGGGAAACTGATGTTAATTACAGTGACCTTAGTACCTTTGTAAGTTGATTTTATAAGTCATTCTTAGTTAACATATTCATTGTTTTAAGTCAAAAATTTTCAGGAGACCTATAACGGTTTATGAGATTAGTTTTATTGTTGTTGTTGTTGTTTGTCAATTTTGGTGATTAAATTCAGGACCAGAGCCCTGTCTCTGAGCCTCTTTAAGCTCAGGGCTAGCATTCTACCACTTGAGCCACAGCGCCAATTCCAATTTTGAGTGGTTAATTGTCAATAAGGGTCTCACAGGGACTTTTCTGCCCAGACTGGCAATCCTCATATCTCAGCCTCTTGAGTAAGTAGGATTACAGGTGTGAGTCACTAGTGCCCCACTAAGATTGATCTTTTATTTTGCAATCAAGAGTAATATACATGCTTCCTAAAGGACTGGGCCTGGTATTTTAAAAATCCTCTTCTTGAGCATGATTTAATTGGTTCAGAGCCTGTCTAGCAAGCATGTGAGACTCTGATTTCAAACCCTAGTACCGTCTACCTCCAAAAGTAAAAAAATGGCCAGGTGCTGGTGGATCACGCCTGTAATCCTAGCTACTCAGGAGGCTGAGATCTGAGGATCAGGGTTCAAAGCCAGACAAAGCAGGAAAGTCCGTGAAGCTCTTATCTCCAATAACCACCAGAAAACTGGAAGTGGCACTGTAGTTCAAAGGATAGAGCACTAGCCTTGAGCTAAAGAGCTGTGGGACAGCGCTCAGGCCCAGAGTTCAAGCCCCATGAACGACAAAAAGAAAAAGAAAAAAATGTACCTTTCTCTTCTATCTACAAACAAAACCTTTTGTAATTGCAAAGCTGTCCTTCCTGATATACTGTATAGGGGTGTACCAGTTGAGTGAATGTGTCTCAGGCCTGTAATCCTACCTAGTTATTCGGGGGCTGAGATCTAAGGACCACAGTTTGAAGCCAGCCTGGGCAAGAAAGTCTATGAGGCTCTTATTTCTAATTAACCAGCCAAAAAAAGCGGAAGCGGAACGGTGGCTTAAGTGGTAGAACACTAGCCTTGAGCACAAAAGCTCAGGGGCAGGGCCTAGGCCTTGAGTTCAAGCTCCAGTTCTGGGACCATGAAAAAGGTACTAGGGGTAATAAATTGCATGGATAAACATCTGGGTTCAATCCTTAGCATCATAAAAATAAAACAGAGAGAATACTTCTTTGTTTTGACTCTGAACTCAGACCCTTGCTTGCACTTGTAGAAGCACTCTATCATTATGAACTACACCTACAACCTTGGGGTGATTTGGATGTTTTTTGTTCTTTTTGTGTTTATTTTTGGTTTTTTGGTTTGGTTTTTGCTTTATACAAGTCCTGAAACTGGAACTCAGGGCCCAGGTTGCTGTCCTTGAGCTTTTTCACTCAAAGCTAGGTGGTTAATTGGAGATAAGTCTCATGGACTTCCTGCCTAGGCTTGCTTTGAACCACAATCCTCAGTTCTCAGCCTCCTGAGTAATTAGGATTACAGGCACAAGCCACCAGTACCCAGTAGCTGAAGAGCTAAGGGACAATGCCCAGGCCCAGAGTTCAGACCCGGTGACAGACAAAAAAAGAAAAGAGTTTCACGGCTTTTCCTGCCCAGGCTGGCTTTGAACCACAATCCTCAGATCTCAGCCTCCTGAGTAGATAGAATTACAGGAGTGAGCCACCAGCGCCCAGCTAAATTACTTTATTTGGGGGGGGGGGTCCGGTCGTGGGGCCTGAATTCTGGGCCTGGGCACTGTCCCTCAGCTCTTCAGCTCAAGGCTAGCGCTCTACCACTTGAGCCACGGCGCCACTTCCGGCTTTTTTCTTTTTGCTTACGTGGTGCTGAGGAATCGAACCCAGGGCTCTGGTATGCAAAGCAAGCGCTCTACCACTGAGCCACCTACCCAGCCCCCAGCTAAATAATGTTAAAATAAAAATATAATTAAATGGGCTGGGAAGGTGGCTCAGTGGTAGAGCGCTTGCCTTGCATGCCTGAGGGCCTGGGTTCGATTCCTCAGCACCACGTAAACAAAAAAATGAAAAAAGCCGGAAGTGGCGCCGTGGCTCAAGTGGTAGAGCGCTAGCCTTGAGCTGAAGAGCTGAGGGACAGCGCCCAGCCCAGAGTTCAGGCCCCACAACTGGACCCAAAAAAATAATAATAATAATTAAATACATCCACACTTATCAAAGGGGCTCAATAAATACTTTTCCAGTGGAAGTAAATTTTTTGTAATGATAGAATTAGGAAGTGGCTTTTATTTCCACATGTGTCAAGATGACTATAAAAATGTGACTTTTATTCAATAATTAATTGTAATTCACAGAGAAAACAAATAGAGTTTGACTTTTAGCAGTTTGATAAAATAGTTTTACCTAAATTTGTAGGAATGTTTATTCAAAGACTGTCTCATTGTGCTATCTTTGTTTTTTACTTCTGGCCCACAGCTCTTCAGTGGGTTTCTTGCAACATCCAGGATCAGAACAAGTACAGTTTCCTCGAACTACATCACCGTGCAGTTCCCAGCCACTCCAAGGCCACCAGTGTGCAGGTAGGAATAGGTCACTAAAAGATAGTAATGGTCTGTCTAAATATTTCAACACATTTCTTTGTTCTGCAAAAATTTCTCAACTTCAGCTTTGTTGAGATTCACTCAGGATGTTTAGGATGCCTTGCAGAATCAGGTTAGCAGGTGCAATTCACTTAATGCTTTTTTGCCACTGCAATCACCTTGCTAACTTCATTTTCCTCTTCAAAAGTGTGATGTTATCCAGAGTCTTTTTTTTTTATTGTGAAAATACTGTACAGAGGGGTTACAATTACATGGGAAAGATAGTGAGTACATTTCTTATCAAGCATTGTAGACTCCTCCTTTGTTTACCCTTTCCATCCCTTCCCATCCTTCTCCCAACCAACCCTCCCCCCCCCAAGTTGTAAAGTTCGTTTTTGACATGACAACTTGTACTTCTCATTGTTGCAACAGGTCCACCTGTATCCTTATTTAAACTATTTGTTTTTCCCCTTCCCCTCCACAAATTATACCGACATCAAATACAGTGAAAGCAGGGGTTATACTGTGGGGGAGGGATCCAGAGTCTTTTCTAAGCCTTTTTCTAATTCTTCAGCCCTTTGTGACTAAGCCAACGAGTCCTGGGGCTTCAACCCCACTGCTGTATCTGACAACCTCATAAATCTTTTTTTTTTTTTTTGGGTCCAGTCGTGAGGCCTGAACTCTGGGCCTGAGTGCTGTCCCTCAGCTCTTCAGCTCAAGGCTAGCATTCTACCACTTGAGCCACAGCACCACTTCTGGCTTTTTTGTTTTTGCTTATGTGGTGCTGAGGAATCGAACCCAGGCCCTCAGGCATGCAAGGCAAGCGCTCTACTACTGAGCCAACTTCCCAGCCCCAACCTCATAAATCTTATTTCTGCTGTGCCAAGATCATATACTCTGTTACTTACTGGAAATCCCTACCCAGATGTTCAAAAGCAAATATTTTCTTCCTCTTCCTGTTTCTGTTACCTCAGATTTCACCTAATAATTGAAACAGAAATTTCACAATCATAATTTAACTCTTCTGCCAGCTACTGTGACTCACACCTGTAATCTCAGCTTCTAAGGCGGCTGAGATTATGAGGAGCATTGATTGAAGCCAACTTTGGCAGAAAAATTTCTGAGACTGTTATCTCCAATTAATTACCAAAGAAAAGATAGAAGCAGAAGTATGGCTTAAGTGCTAAAGCATTAGCCTCAAGTGAAAAGGGTAAGGGAGAGCTCCCAGGTCCTGAGCACAGGCCTCAGTACTAGCACAAAAATAAAGTAAAAAAATAATGTTTTTCTTCTCTTTCACATTCTTGTAGTCATTATTTCCTCAAATTAAATACTGTCTCTTTTTTTCTACCACTGATAATTCTGGTCTGTTCTTTTTATACCTTGTTTACAGTAATCACTGAAGTTCTTATTATGTATTTAATTTTCATTTCGCCAACACATAAACATACACAGTTTCAAAAATTATTGTCCTGAAACAGAAATCTCTTCATGTTGTTCCTCTGAAAATAAAACTTGGATCCACTCCTGTAAGTCTAATAAGCCTCCCAGTTATACATACATATTTAATTCATACAGAATTTTCTGTCATAATGTACTCTTTGATGCCCAAAATACTTCTGTACTTATTTTTCACTCTGCCTGTGATGTTTATCCATCATCCTGCTTGACAGAGTATTTCTCATTCTTAAAATTTGGCTCAAGAAATTCACCTATTTTACAAATAATTCAGCTAGTCTTTGTTTTTGTTTTTGTTTTATCAGTCATGAGGCTTGAACTCAAGGCCTGAGCACTCTCCCTGAGCTTTTCACTCAATGTTAGCGCTCTTCCACCAATTTGAGCCAACTCTAGTTTTTCTCGTGGTTAATTGGAGATAAGAGTCTCACAGACTTTCTTGCCCAGGCTAGCTTCAATCAGGTGTGGGCCACCAGCTTCCAACTCCATTCACCTAGTCTTTAAGAAAAGGGTATCTAGAATTTGTGTGTGTGTCTGTGTGTAAGTCCTGGGGCTTGAATTCAAGGCCTGGGTGCTGTTATTGAGCTTTTGTGCCCAAGGATAGTATTCTATCACTTGTGCCACAGCTCCATTTCCAGCTTTATGTTTAATTAGAGATAAGAGTCTTATGAACTTTTGTGTCTGAGCTGGTTTTGAACCACAATCCTCAGATCTCAGCCTCATTATGTAGTTAGGATTATAGGCGCAAACTACCAGTGCCCAGTTTTCCATATACTCTTACAGAAACTTTTTTTTTTGCTAGTTCTGGGGCCTGAACTCAGAGTCTAGGCACTGTCCCTGAGCTGCTTTTGCTCAAGACTAGCACTCTAGCACCACTTCCTGCTTTTTCTGTTTATGTGGTAGTGAGGAATTGAACCCAGAGCTTCATGCATGCTAGGCAAGCACTCTACTACTAAGCCACATTACCAGCCCTTACAGAACTTTTGATTATACTCTTATTTTACTATAATGATTTGTTGACGTATATAATCTCCTAAAAAAAAAAAAGTTAAACAGTAAGTGATTATCAGTAAATGACTATTAGACCCTTGGTACCGGTAGCTTACCCCTATAATTCTAGTTCTTGGGTTAGTGGAAACAGAAGATAATGGGGTTCAAAACAGTCCCAGCAGAGGGAAATTGGACATAGTGGTACCTGGCTGCACTTAATTAGAAAGCAAAACACTGTGAAAAACAGGGCATGTGGTAATTCATACCATCAGTGCCCTGTAATCCTAGCTATTCAGGCTGAGATCTGAGGATCACTGTTCAAAACCATCTCATGTAAAATAGTAAATAGTCCATGAGACTACTATCACCAGTTAACCACCAAAAAGCCAGATGTGAAGAAGTATCTCAAGTAATAGAGTAACAGCCTTGAGAAGAAAAGCTAAGCAAGAACAAAGATCTTGAGTTTAAGTCACAGTACTGCCAGAAAAAAGAAAAACAGGGCTGGAGGCATAGTTTAGCAGTGTTGAGCCAGCTTAGCAAGCACAAGGTTCTGAGTTCAACCCTCCAGTACCACCAAAAAGTAAATCACTATTTGTGGAAGATTGGCCACTTTGGCCGAGAAAAGCTTTTTTTTTCCTGTTTTGTTTTGTTTTTTTCCTTTTCTTTTCTTTTCTCTTTTCGCCAGTCCTGGGGCTTGAACTCTGAGTCCCTGAGTTTCTTTTGCTCAAGGCATGTGCTCTACCACTTGAGCCACAGTACTGCTTGCAACTTTTTCTGAGTAGTTTATTGGAGATAAGAGTCTCACAAGCCAGGCACTGATGGCTCATGCCTGTAATCCTAGCTACTCAGGAGGCTGAGATCTGAGGATTATAGTTCAAAGCCAGCCCTGGCAGAAAAGTCCATGAGACTTATATCCAATAAACCATCAGAAAACCCAAATGGCACTGTGGCTCAAATGGTAAAGCCCTGGCCTTGAGCTGAAGAGCTCAAGGACAGGGCTTAGGCCCAGAGTTCAAGCCCAAAGACCAACAAAAAAAAAGTCTTATGGACTTTCCTGCCCTGTCTGGCTTCAAACTACAATCCTCAGATCTCAGCCCCCTGAGTAGCTAAGATTTACAGGCATAAGCCATTGCCACCCAGCTCTGAGAAAAAGTTTTAAGATATATCTAGGGCTGGGAATGTGGCTTAGTGGTAGAGTGCTTGCCTAGCATGAATGAAGCCCAGGGTTCCATTCCTCAGTACTACATAAACAAAAAAGGCCAGAAGTGGTGCTGTGGTTCAAGTAGAGTGCTAACCTTGAGCACAGAGAGGCTCAGAGATAGAGCCCATGTCCTGAGTTTAAGCCACAGGACCAGCAAAAAGATAGATAGATAGATAGATAGACAGACAGACAGACAGACAGACATATCTATAGAAAGATAGATAGATATGCAGTTAGCCCTTCCAAGGTTTAGCTAACCATATTCTCGTTTGTAGGGAAATGACAACTATGTGCAGTTAGTACTGCAATACTAACAAATTAGAGAAATAAATAGGGAAATAGTTTTCCAGAGTTGTAGAATATTTCAGGATGCAAAAATTGTGCTCTGTGCCAATATCCCACTTTTTTTTAAATTAATTCACTTTATAGAAATGACTTTCCAGCAGAGCCCCAGTGCCTCATACCTGTAATCCTAGTTACTCAGGAGGCTGAGATCTGAGTATAGTGGCTAAGACAGGCTGGTAGGAAAGTCTGTGAGACTCATTTCCAGTTACAAGCTAGAAATGGAGTATTAGTTCAAATGGTAGGTGCTACCACTTAGGAACAGCACCAGGCCCTGAGTTCAAGCCCCAGTAACAGCACCAAAATAAATAAGTACATACATAAATACTTTCCACCAGGCATGGCAGCACACGCCTATAACCTCAACCAACATTCAGGAGGTTGATGCAGGAGAATCATGAATTTGAGGCCTGCAAGGGCTACAATAGCAAGACCTTCCTCAAAATACAAAGTAAATGAAATACTTTATTTGAAAAATTAAATACAATAGATGGGTGAATCAGTAAGATGAGTGGATCAATAAAATTTGGTGTACATATGTACAATGGAATTTTACTCATCTATTAAAAAGTATAATATTTATTGATACAGATCTGAGGAAATGGAAATGGATTTTTATTGGTGGTGGGGTATTTGTTTTTGTTTTTTTTTGGTGGGAGGGGGCCAAAGTGAGTGTAGAAATGGGGGGAAGGAGGATGAACAAATGTAATCACACTATTCAGTATACATACAGTGTATGGGAAATATGTAACTTGTGGGAAGAGAAAAGAGGGGGAAACTAGAGGAAAGCAAAGGAAGAGTTGACATTGTCCAAAAAAGAAATGTACTCATTGCCTGACTTAGGAAATGGTAACCTTAATAATAATTAGCTGAGCATCAGAGGCTGAGATCTGATGATCAAGGTTCTAAGCCAGCCCAGGCAGAAAAGGCCTGAAGTGCACTAAGAGGCTCAGGGATAGCACCCCAGCCCTGAGTTCAAGCCCCAGGACCAGCAAAAAAAATAAATAAAACAAAATAATATGTAAGATATGACTCAGTGCTACAACACTTGCCTGGCACGCACAGTCTTCTGATTTCAATGCAATGGAGAGCAAAAGGAAAGGAAAGAAGCGTGGAAAGAAAAGGAGGAGAAGAGCCTTTGTTGCTTATGTACATATTCAAGTATCTATTAGGTGCTGCCAGAAGTAATTCAGTCTCCTGAGTAACTATTGGCCTATACTTATGATAAGTGAAATATTCAAGCCTAAACATACTTAATAGTAAAATTTTATTCAGAAATGTGAAATTATTGTTATCCTAGCTAGTTTCAGAGATACAAGTTGCTAAAATAGCACTGATATCATGCACTGTCCTAATCTGATTTTCAGCCATGCCACCACCACCACCTGGTGGAGGAATGGTAATGATGCAGCTCAATGTACCGAACAATCCACAATCTCGTGCTCACTCACCCCCTCAGTGGAAACAAAACAAATATTACTGTGACCACCAGAGAGGACAGAAATGTGTGGAATTTAGCAATGTAGACAATATTGTCCAGGTAAGATATTTTCTTTATTGTCATTTTGAGCCTACATTTTTATCAGCTAAATGAACTATCTCATTGAATTTAAAATTCTAAAAGAAGATTGATAAAGATGTTTGAAAATCTCTATCTGTATTTTATCAACATTATGTGTCAGTATTACATGATAACTTCTATATATTCACCAAACATTATCCTTACAAATAAAGAGAGCTAGGTTTGGTGGTCCACATCTATAAGCTCAGCATGCTGAGGAACTTGAGCTTGAGACTACCCTGGGATACATGGAATGACCCTGTCTCCAAAAATAAAATATCAGAAGAGATTGTAAGGAGTGGCCTAGTATATAGAAGGTTCTGGGTTTCATACTAAACACATAAAGAGGAAAAGATTAAAGTTCCATAAACAAAAAGACTTAAAACATTTATTCCCCCTTTCGTGTGTGTGTGTGTGTGTGTGTGTGTGTGTGTGTGTGTGTGTGTGTATGTGTACCAATTCAGTGATAAAACATTCCTCATATAAAGGAATCCACTTTGCTGGGTACCAGTGGCTCACTTCTCTAAACTTACTCAGGAGATTGAAATCTGGGGATCTCTATTTGAAGCCAGAGCCAGAAATGGAGGTGTGGATCAAGTGGTAGAAAGTAAGCCTTGAGTTGAAAATCTAAGGGAGATGGCTAGGAAGGTGGCTCAGTGGTAGAGCGCTTGCCTTGCATGCTCGAGGCCCTGGGTTTGATTCCTCAGTACCACATAAGCAAAAAGAAAAAAGCCAGAAGTGGCGCTGTGGCTCAAGTGGTAGAGCGCTAGCCTTGAG